GTGCCTGGCGGATGTAGGTCTCTGCTCTGTCCCTGATGCGGTCTGCTAACATCATCGCAAGTATCTTGCTGCCTGGAGGGAGGAGGCAAATGGGGCGTAATTGTTTCGGAAGTCGTGCCACGGAAACCTTCGGGATGAGGCATACATGCACGCGGTGCCAGTCCTCCGGGAGGTGGTAGGAAGGGGGCAGAAGGCAGTGGTGTAATCCCGCGGCAATGTCCTGTCCTATGGCATCTGAGGCAGCCTGCCAAAGTCTCGCCGGCACATAGTCCGGGGGAAGTGCCTTCCGGACTGGGAGTCGAGCAAGGGCACTAGTTACTTCTGCATCGGTGAAGCTGATGTTCGTGGTGGGTTGGGGTGGAGCGGGACAGGTTTTGGCAGTTTGATAGAGGCTCTCGAAGTGCTGACGGATAGCTTTGAGCTCGTCTCGCGGAGCCATTAGCATTCCGTCGCTATCGCGAAGTTGAATGCGAGAATGTCTGGTCTTGGGGGCCAGCAATCTGGTGGCTTTGTAGAGGGCGCCGGGCTCAGTGCTCTGTTCAGCTTCGCTGAGAATGTGGTCTAGGCGCTCTTGTTTGCGAAGTTTGCCGCGTTTGTGAAGGATGTTCTGGGTCTGCCGAATCTGCTGCGCAAGTTGGAGTGCCTGGGCCTTCTGCGCAAAGGTGTCCGTAGGTTGTGATTGCTTGAGGCGCTTTAGTCTCCAGAGCTCCTTGACAGTGATAGCAGCATCGGGCTCGTTGGTGTCCTGGCGGGTCTGCCCTGTCGGGTGGAGTCCAGCCGATGCGATAAGGTCTTCCCAGGTTTTGCGGAGGAGGTCGTTGATGTGTCTGCATGGGTCCTCCCCCAGGGGGGTGGGGTGGAGGCGCAGTTGGAAGGCCATGGAGTGCGCCAGTTTGGGACCAAGTTCGGGGTCCTGGGCCATGGCCGCCCGCACAGCTGCGGCGGTACAGGTCTTGGATGGTGGCTTAGGTGATTTGGGTATCAGTTTGGGGCCAGGCCATGGCATCGTGGTATGCATGGGGAGGTGGCGGTTGCCTTGTAGGGGAACAAACGGTACCTTGCGCAGAGCTCCTGCGCGGCGGGTTTGACGGTCAGACTGGCCCTCACGGCAGAGGATATAGTCAATGCGGGTACGAGTGGCATGCTGTCCAGTGCCCGCAACGTATGTAGCCGCATTGGCCTGGCGGCCGAAGGTGGTAACGGCCAGGAGCTGATGGTCCCTGAGGAGGCTCTGGAGTCTACCGTAGTCCTTCTGTGGTGGCGTTGATTTATCCACTCTGTCCGCTGACCGCGCAAGTCGGGGGGCGTCCGGCGGTGGCACACACTGGGTGTTGAAATCTCCCAGTACCACAAGCTGATGACGCTGGGCAATACGGCCGATTAGGGTTGAAAGAGAGCTCCAGACCTTTTCTCTGCACTCCAAAAGCTTTTCCTGTGTGGGGGTGGTTGTGGAGTTGGTGGACCAGCAGTGCTGGTAAAGGCTGATGAAGGAGATAGGTGGCTCAGTAGCGAGTTTAGTGTACAAGATCCTGCCTGGCAAAACATGGTCCGTGCGCACCTGATGTGTGCTGGCCAAATCCTGGTGGATCAGGTGGAGGATGCCTGCGCTGCGGGACTTGCCATCCAGGGAACTGTGCAGGTGCCAGTAGCCTTGGGCCTGCCATTCGCTGGTGAAGGTCCAATGGGTCTCCTGGATGGACAGAGCGTGGACCGGTCGTCCTTGGAGGGCCTCCAGGTGTAGCCAGACATAGATTTCATCAAGCTTGGCAGTACTGAGGCCTCCGGCGTTCCAAGAGAGGATTCTGAATCTGTCCAGGGTAGTGGCAGTCTCAGGCGGGGTGTTGGCAGAGGCCTGGGCACAGGATTGAGATGGCACGGGGGTGTCGGAGTGATAGAGTCGGCCTTTGTATCGTGCGGTTCCTGTGGTGGCAAGTCGTCGCAGGAACCTGGCATAGGAGCGTTTCTTGACAGATGAGGTAAGTGCTGCAGGTGGCGATGCAGTGTCGCCTGAAGTAGATGGCGCGCGAGGCTTCGCCGCACTGTGCGGCCTTCGAAGTGCAGTGATAGCGACTTCAGGGGAGTTCGCGACTGTCTCCCCAACCCTCGCACCTGCCGAACTCAGAAGCTGCGATCCTAGTATGATGGCCTTGAGATAGGCTGGTGTGTGTCCTTTAGTTAGCTGCTGAGTTCGGGCCCCGGATTTGGGACCGGGGCGGCTCGCTATGGTAGAGAAGAGGGTGTGTGTGTTGGGTCCACTCCATCTATTGCAGGGCTCACTGTCCAGACTGGCACTTTTTGAGCCTGAGGGCATGCACGGGCTGGGGGGAACCAGAACACAGTGCATGATTGCAGGCTGTAAGCAGTTTTCGCATGATCGTCAGTGGTGGTCCGTCCAGCCTCACCCGTCCTTTGGGGAGGCAGATATAATTCCTCCAGGGAGGTCTAGTCCAGGCTGTGCAGGTCCAAGGCCAAGGCCAGGGCTGCACTCGGCGTTTGGATGGTCGAGGTGGAGGCGGAGGCTGGTACCAGGCGTTCGGGGTGAGCAGGCTCGACAGCGTCTGTGCGGTCTGGCGCAAATTGATGGTAGTGGAGCCTGCACTGTCCGCATGCCGGTGACGGCACAAACTCCGCTGGGTCCCCTGCCACGACGTGTTCGGCAGTAGCGGCATCTCGGAGCTCTGCTCGCCAGGCACTGTGGCATAGGGAGATCTGGGGCCAGTTAGCGAAGATCGGAGTCGTATCAGAAACCAGCCGGTAGCCAGCGCAAACATGGAATGCGGGCGACGCTGCATTTGGCGTGTGGGCCTGGCTTGGGCGAGGACGTCCCTGACACACCGCGCAGGTCTCATCGGGCCGCACGGCTTGGTAGCAGTGCGGCCACCCTTCCATCCAATGATCTCTGCACACAGGGATAGAAATGGCCGAGGCGTTTCTGAGTGAAGTGGCTCTGGCACGGCGAAAGCCTGATAGTCTGCGTGCTTCTCTTCGCGCGGACCTGTCTCCAGGAGGGCCAGTGGGCCGTTGCATGCTATATGACCAAGGTACAACGGCGCAGCTGAGGCGGGCGCTGTTGCGAGAGCGGGTGGTCTGGTGCGCTGCCACTGAGATCTGACATCCATACAGACTCTAGAGATGGGGGCTGCAGCGTTTCGTCAGGCAGTGAGTGTGGCTTCCAGGTCCCCAGCCACAGCTGCCACTCGTGAGATGGACCTTGGGGTTGAGAAGTTCGGCGGGGCACGCAGGTCCGGGCTTTAGTGTGGCAGCAGAGTGAGTGCATAAGGCAGCTAGGCAGGGTAGAGCCGCAGAGGGTCGTACTCTCTTTTTGTAGCGGAAGCAGCCTGATCTGGGAGGAGTCACTCAGGGCTCTCCAGGCTCTCAAGGCTCGCAATGCTCTCAGTCTCCGTGGCAAGCGTCCAGGCCGACTCACACGAGGGCGATCTCTCGACTTCAACTTCCACGGTGACCCGCTGCTCCTCAGATTCCGGGTGGTCAATATCCGGGATCCTGGCTTCGAACGGAACACGGGGAGGACGGTACCTGGTTTTGGCCTTGGAGTAGTCGGAGTCCAGCTGCAGGACGGCAGCTGGTTCGTCCCAGTCAGGCTCCAGATGCCAGATGCTGGGTGCCGCCGCTGGGCCAGATTCCAGGGGCGGAGGTGCCCCCTTCGCCGATTTCTTGGGCATCTTTTTGGGCTTCGGCGGCATTCTCTTGGGGACCTCCTTCGGCGCCACATTGGAGCTGCTGCCCTGGCTGCCCTTGCTGGTTGCTGGGAGGCCTGGTCCTTCTGGATCGTGGTGTCGTGAGGAGCCTGGACCGGCAGCTTCTGAAGACGCCCGCGGGCGCTTCTTCGGAAGAGGGCGAAGCCTTCCGGCGTTGTCGCCAGTTTGGGCCGTGTCCGTGGCTGTGGTTCGGAGGCCGGCTGAGAGTCCTTCTGCAAGTCGTCGGCCTGGGGCTCATCAGCTTCCGGATCTCCTGCCCCCGTCCGCATCGACCGCCAGATGGCCATGGAGTACCTAGTGATAGGTGGAGGCACTCGTCTCCAGCGGGCTCTTTGCAGAGCGCGTCGCGTAGCCAGTTGTCGGGTCCTTCTGAGTGGGCATTGTCCTTGTCGTCCGCGAGGACGGAGTAGCCACCGAGGGTTGATCGGAACCATTGTGCACACGGCGGGTTGCTCACGCTACACGAGGCGAGTGCCTAGCATGGGGCTATGAGTCAAGCTTTGCACCGGGGTGGAGGGGAATTGGTCCTCCCTTGGAACCTGTGCTGCTCCCTGGACGTGTGCCATGCTGTTCTGCTGTGAGCAGCTCAGAGAAGAGGCATCTTCAAGTGAGGCGCTGCTGGCAACAATGGCAGTCAGCTGCAGCAACCGGTGTAGCATGCAGTAACTTGGGATCCGAGGCCGCAGCAAGTCTGGTGCCGGAGGAGGGCACGTATTTCCTTCGGCTGCGTCGTGCTTGGGGAAGGTACCTGCACTGGGACAAGTAAGGCAGTGTCGCCGCATGGCACGGTTGCAGCAACGAGTGTGGTGGAGGCAGGCACACCGGGCATGCCGCTGGAGAGCCACCTTCGGTGGCACAGTGCCAGCTAGGACACAAGTGTCGCGTGCAGCTCCGGCTGGGCCCCTGTCGTGGCAGGAGACGAGGGCGGTGCTAACCTCAGTACGGCATGCTTTGGTTGTGGTCGACCCGGATGGCTCAGAGTGAGAAGGCTGAGCACTGCAACTATTGCTGCTAGCAGGGTGCCTGTGAACGGCAGTGCAGTAATTTTTCCGCCGGCTTGAACAGTGGATGACGTCCGGGTGAACCGGAAGAAGAGCACGCCAAGGAGGCAGTACCTGAGGCCAGTAGCCATGTCGAAGATGCTGTGGAAGAGGTTCTGCTGCACTGCTCCTTCTAGGGACCACCAGATCCAGATCCAGGTCCATTGGGCCCACTGGGACGGATATGGATCGTAATTGTCCATCCTTGAGTGTGGACCGTGGTAGTGGTGGAAGTGGGGGCAGCTGCTCGGATCGGTCGAGACGGAGGTCTGGGTCCCGGGTTAGAGGGGCCAGGGCTGACAGGTCCGCATCCTCCCGCAGGTGGTCTGGCTCCATAGCTCGTCGCTGGTGTAGGCAGTGGCGGTCCGCTCGGGGGACTGTTAGTCGTAAGTGGGCCTGGCGGATTCGTTGGCACAGCTGCTGGTAGGGGAGCCATGGCTCCTGCAGGGGTAGCCCATGGCAGCGGTGGGGCCGGCGAGGCCTCGGCGGTTGTCGGCGGAGCTGTCGTAGTCGCAGGACCCACTGGAGCCGGGGATCTGCTTCTCGGCCGGTTGACAGGAACCGGAGGTGGCGGACTCGTGGCGCGGCACTGGAGTCTGCCGGCGCATCTGGTGAGTCAGGGCTGCTGGGGGACGTCGGCTCACTAGTGCTCTCCGCCGCAGCGGGCTTAGCCTTTGCTGAGGAAGCTGCAGAGCCCCTGCCTCTGCCACGGCCTCGCTGATTCCTCGGTGCCATGCCGGGCTGGCCTACAGAGTCTAGGCGGTCTCGAGCCACAGCAGCTACCGTGATTCCTCGGGTGACTCTGAGCACAAGGATGTAGTAGTGCACTGTGCTGCTGGGGCGGCTGCAGAGGAGCCAGCGTCTGGGCTGGCAAGGTGAAGGCTGCAGTCGCTGCAGTCGCTGAGGGCTCCCTTCGGGATCGTGGGTAGCGGGAGTTGGCTCTAAGCATGGATGTCTCGGCAGGTGATGCCCGCACGCCAGGCTAGTTTTCCTCTGCATGCCTGGTCCTAGCTGAGCTCGAGTCCTTACGAGAGAAGCCTCACACTGTAGTGGATGAGGGCGGGCTCTGGTCACAGTCCTGCACCAAGGATCAGGCACGGCTCTTGGCTGAGCTGGAGGAGCGAGTTCGCGAGGGCCGGCTGCCCGTGGTGGCGGACTGGAGGAGTTTGGTGATGAGCTCTCCCGCTTGGAGGGGGCTTCCGGTTACAGCCGGGGCAGGCGGTGCCCGTTCTGGACCTCGGTGGGTCGGTTGACACTGGAGTAGTAGGAGTAGCTGTCGTCCTCCAGTGGTCGGCCTTGGTCTGCCCGGTGTTGTCTATAGAGGGCTGGGGGCATGACAGGGGGACCTGGATGCACTGCTCTTGGTCTCGTCGAGGGCCGGTCAACTTGTCGAGAGGGGGAGGCTCTTTCCCGAGGGGAATCCTTCTGTTGGACAGTGGTGCCGTTGGGAGCTGTATTCCGGCGTGGCTTCTGACGGTGTGCCCTGGGGCCGCGCTGGTTTGGAAGGAGGTGGCCTGTTCGCAGGGCTTCGAGACCGGGGTCTGCGCCTGGGCTTCGTGCTGGGCGGTCGTCGGGAACGCGAGGAGGAGCGCCGGCTGCGAGTCAGTCTCGTCGCGGACCTCAGGCGAATTGGGGCCGTCTCTGGCCTTGGTTCCAGGTCTCTGCTGTCTGGCTGCTGTTCTTGCATAAGCTGCTCATGTAAGCGCTGCAGCCAACCTGGAGAACGATGATAGAACGCCTCGGAGTAGATGGTGCAGGGCGGAGGTGCAGCTTCTCGTGGGTGTCGAACAGCTTCACACTCCTGAGTGTACAGACGGTTCAGCCTGCCAGGTCGGGACTGATCACGTCGCCGCTTGCTGTCTGACCGCGGCATCCCGTCAGGGGCCCTGAATATCAGGTCTATAGGGGACCAGGGCTGGTTTCCTGTTTGAGAGGTACCCAGCTGCGTCAGAGGCCGGTCACAACGAGACAGAGGAGCAACGCTGGCTGCAGGCAGTGGCGGTGGCCTGCTCGATGAGAGGGCCTGTGTGGTCGACGGAGGTAGGCAGGCCTGAAGGTCTTTCAGGAACGGCGCCAGGCAGTTGCGGCAGGACAGAGCCAACATGTGTCGGAAGACTCTAGCACATGGGTCAGGGCAGTGACAGTGAGGCGCCGGCTCGGCGAGAGCTTGCGCCTGAGCATCGCGTGGGGCGGTCACATCGGCGTCCATGGAAGCAGGTGCCGAGGGACAGGCCACCGCAGGCGAGGACCCCTCTAGCCTGGGTGCACGGGCAGAGGTGAGGGAATGACTGCAGACATAGTGCTCGGTGTGAGTCACGGGCAGTGTAGTCCTCGTAGTAGGGTCACCTGGGCCAGTACAGGGGCAGGACAAGTGGGGATGGGTGTTAGCAGGGCCAAGAGCACAGGTCGTGAGCGCAAGCCAGTATCGATCTTTTGCTGTGGCCAGTATCAAGTCGGTGCTGCACTGCTGGGCAACTTGGCTGAAACGGCTTCCATCAAGACTTGTCTGTAGAAGGGAGAGAGCCTGGTGCCTTTGGTGTGGTCTCCGTACCGACAGGAGAGCGGGATCTCGATCGAGGGCGCCTTGGATCCTTAGAGCTGGAGGGCTTGGCCAGGGAAGCAAGAGTCCGCTCCGCTTCTTCAGCAGCTGCCATGAGATCCGCCGTGTCAATGGAGTCCGGAGAGCCCGGCTGGGCCTGAGGCTTCTGACAGCTCTGGGGCTCGTCAGTGGTCGGCAGGGGACCAGGGCGCAATGCAGTCGCTGATCCGATGCGGTCCCAGTTATTGGTGTTCCATACCTGATGGTGCAGCCCTGCCCTGTAGCGTTCTCGGACGATCGTGTTGTCCAGGGTCTGATGCAAGCTGGCCAGCGTCTCGGCAAGGTTGACCTGCTCTGTGGGTGGAGGCGATCCTGATGGTGCCGCAGGTTGTTCTGAGGTTGGCCGCGACATGGTTCGGCAGGGCCTCTGGACACAGCAGGGGCCGGTATGCTGACACTAGGCAGTAGCTTGAGCCTGCAAGTATCGGCAGGAGCGCTGAGAAGGGACGGCAGGTCCTGGCTGTTGCTCCATATGCAGGGTAGCAGTACTAGCTGAGGCTCGCACCTCTCAGGCCAGGGCAAGTCGGCCACGGGCGGAGATTTGGTCCCAGCGGCTTGCGGATGGGGTGGAAAAGGATTGGGAGAGAGAAGGCAGGCCAGGAGGAGAAGGTGTGTAAGTACCATCCTGCAGCCTACTTCTACACTCACACACACACACACACACACACGGACAGTCTTCGTTCGAGCCCAGTAGTAGTAGTAGTAGTAGTAGTAGTAGTAGTAGTAGTAGTAGTAGTAGCAGTAGTAGTAGTAGTAGTAGTAGTAGTAGTAGTAGTAGTAGTAGTAGTAGTAGTAGTAGTAGTAGTAGTAGTAGTAGTAGTAGTAGTAGTAGTAGTAGTAGTAGTAGTAGTAGTAGTAGTAGTAGTAGTAGTAGTAGTAGTAGTAGTAGTAGTAGTAGTAGTAGTAGTAGTAGTAGTAGTAGTAGTAGTAGTAGTAGTAGTAGTAGTAGTAGTAGTAGTAGTAGTAGTAGTAGTAGTAGTAGTAGTAGTAGTAGTAGTAGTAGTAGTAGTAGTAGTAGTAGTAGTAGTAGTAGTAGTAGTAGTAGTAGTAGTAGTAGTAGTAGTATTAGTAGTAGTAGTAGTAGTAGTAGCAGCAGCAGTAGCAGTAGTATTTTCCAAAGTTCAAGGCTAAGTTTACAGCCAATATAAGCCCGTAATTGACCCTCTGACCGCATGTGGTGTTTCCCCGATAAACTGGCCGAACGCCACAAGTCCTAAAAGAATCTAAAACACGTAGAATGAGGGTTAGGATTTAAGGTTCAGGCAAACACTCCAAAGCCACAATCATGTCGGCCTCCCAAACAACGAGAAACTTCGAAGTTTCAAAGGTCAGGGTTTCTGGCCTAGGGTCTACCCTGATCTACCATTAAAACCTACTTTCTATTTTGGGGTCGCTCTAAATTCTGTACTAGGGTTCAGACTAAGACCTACGAAACTGGAGGTTGCGGTAATGTAGGGGCCTTAATTTTTAGAACAGGGTTCTGGGGTTAATAAATTGTGATTATGATAAGGAGCCCCCAAAACCCCTCTACCAAGTGGGTACTCTTTGGGTCCTTATTATAATACGGCACCTAATATTTAGGGTACCCGAAACGGGACCATAATTTTGACAACCACCCAAGTGTTAGTTTAAGCTAGGGTGGCGGGGGTTGAGGACTGATGCAGCCGGGTCTTTGGGAGCTCAATCCCCACGGTGCAATTCTGAAGACAGCTGTGCTTAAGGCTCCATGTTTAGGGTTCCTTTATGGGTGTCTTTAAGGGCTTAGGGGCTCCTTTTGAAAATTTAGGGCTCCTTTAATGGCTTAGGGCTCCTTTGACTTCAAGCTTTCGGAGGTTCCTATACCTACTTGTCGGGTATCCTGGGGAACTAAAGGTTCACCTTTGGGAGTATATTGGGGTTATATGGGGAGTACAGTACCCCAGAAAGGTTAAGGGTGCCCTACCCCACTGCACGGTATATATAGTATCTACTTAGGCCTTGGAGGGGTTCCTATAGAGGTACTTGAAGGCCCAAGTATGTTCTGTAAAGGCACATGGCGCCTTAGGGGGAGGGTGTGTGAAGCTTGTTTGCTGTTGCCTGCGAAGGTCAGAGCAATGTTGTCGTCGACAACCAAGATTTTCCGAATTGTCCTGACATAGGGGTCTCGATAAGTAGAACATGGCTGGGGGGGAATAACATAAACGCAAATACAAATGTATGAAGAACTTTGAGCAAGTGTATATATGTATATAAAGGTACATATGTACACATATATGTCCTATAACTGCTACATATGTTGTAACGTTTTCTAGATTCTAAGGAAGGATGGTTCTATTTATTTGGACCTCTATGATCTGGCGCTCCCCCGGACTCCGCCACCCGCAGTGAAGCACGAGACGTTCCGCACTTGGAGGATCATGGGACTTAGTAAGTTGCTGTTGGAGTGTCTGAAGTCTCTGGAAGGCTGGGACGGAATAGCTTCTGCCGTCTACGGCAGAAAAGCAAGGCGGTTCAGGCGGAGGTCACTAAGGCTGAAGCAAAGCTTCTAAGCCCGGAAACCAAGCTTTCCACCGGCCTCCGAATCCTTTCTTTGGGATGTATCTGACTTATCAGAACTAACTTGATCTCAACCCTAGACCCGAACCCCTAAAGCTCCAGAGTACCGAACAGGAGTTACAGGAGTCTGCACACAAGTAGGGACACAATCGCCCTTAACATCCATACATATTCTGTTTTTATATTTAGACCCAAACGAGAATCCTACAAACCCTTGAGCCATAATGCACGAAAAACTGGTATATTCCATACTCCCCTGGGCTTGCATTACTATAATAACAACGAAACATCATGCCTAAGGCCCACGGAAACCCTCAACCAAATAGGGCGGCTGATAATTAATTAGAATATGGTTTTGGGGCTCGTTATACTATACTCATTCTACTATAACTATGTTAAGGAACCCCCCAAAGCAGTATGGGTAATTGTTAAGGCCCCCATATTAGCCCGACTAGCTCCTCGGGTCTTGCAGCTTCGGCGTTGCTCGCCGCTCCACCGCGAGGACAACGCCTTGGCACGCGATCCGGTCTGGGCCTTTTAAGTATTAAACGAGTATCCCCACCAACCTAAGGAATAAAACGGGCTCCCTGTTTGGATAAGGAACCTAACACTACCGAAACTGAAGAAGGGCCCACTGGGAGACCTAGTAAAGCTTGGTTGAGGGTGAACGTGAAGCCTGAACTGTAAACTTGTGGTGCGACACCCCATGACCTGGATTTGTGGTGTCCGGCCGGACATTCCAAGGCACTTGTTGAGGAACAGAACCGAGTAAGTACCCAGAACTTAGTATACAGCAAATGGATCATCGAAGCAAAACCTAGATAACTAGCTAAGAACTCAGACTCTTGTGGCATGTTCCGGAAGGCATCGCACTTGAAGCGAGTCCGGCAGGACATCGTACTCCGGCTTTGTATTGCAGATTTGTCGGAGCTCATCCCATGCATACCAAATAAATTCAACCAAGCCCTCTCTAACCCCATGCCAAACTATTTTATCCAAAACCCTAAACTTGCGGGCTCACACACAGTCGGTTTTATCTTACCTGTACGTCTCCTGATAACCGACAAAGTAAATCCCCTAATTTCTAAAGCCTAAAGCGAAACAACCTAAAACCCTAAACCTTAAATCCCTAAATTCCTAAATCCCTTAAACCCCCTGACCCTGTAGAAGAGCGCTGCGACTAGCCGAGCCGCAGTCCTTGCCCTTGACGCCCACGGTGGTGGTTCCCTTCCTGACTGCCTCGCGGAGCAGGTTTTAGGGTTTGGGGTTCAGGGTCCAGGATTTTTTTTGCTAGTGCCCTGCGCGCTTTTCGTCAGCGCGCTTCGGCGCTCGCTCAAAGGAACTCTTCAGAGGGTCCAGGATTTTGGGGTTTAGAGGTTTAGAGTTTACGGTTTCGGGGTTTTAGTGATTTTAGTGTTTAGGGTTCAGGGTGCAGCTGATCTTAAGCCCTGCGCCCTAAGCCTGAAGCTCAAACCCTAAACCAAAGCTCGAGATCCCACACCCAGACCCTGAAACCCTGAAGCTTGAAATCCTAAACCCAATGCCCCTGAAGCCTAAAACCTCAAACCTTAAAAATCTTGAACCAAGAAGCCCCAAAAGGCCTAAGCCCTATGGATTCCTTAAAGGAACCCTTACGATACCCTTTCAAGAGCCCCCCCCCCCCCACACCCAAAAAAAGCCGGAAGCCGTCGAACCTGGCGCGCAAAAGCCTAAAGCCTAGCCGGCTCTTGGGGCTTTGGGGGTCTACTTAGCGGATCTAAGGCACTTAAGGGCTCCTTGAAGGGAACTATAGGGTTCTTTAAAGGGATATATAGGGTTTAGGGTTTAGGGTCTACTTGGAGGATCAGGGGGGTCTACGTAGCGGATCAGGGTCGGGTACTGCCCCCATACAGTAACAGTCTACAATAAGGCTGCGATTAAGGTCCTAGTTTATCTATATTATGAATATTATCCAACTGTTACTGAGTGGGGGCAGTACCCAAGATCAGGGGACTTAGTAAGTAGAGTTACACGCACCTTAATTGGCGATATAAGTAGATATAACTACAGTTACCGTTACTTATAACCAACCTTACTAAGTCCCCTGATCCCCTAAGGATGGCCCCAAGCGAAGAGTTTAGGGCTTAGGGGTTAGGGTTTAGGGGTTTAGGGTTTTGATGGTTTAGGGTCTGAGGCATAGGGCTTTACATAGGGCTTTAGGGTTGAGGATTTAAGTTTAGGGTTTAGGGTTTAGTTTGGGTCTGAGGGTTTAGGGAGTTAGACTCGGTGACTAGGTTGTTACCACTATCCACCAAGCCCCGCAGCCAGCAATATGAGAGGTGAAGCCCGCGAGCTCCCGAACATGCAAACCCCCAACCCTGAACGGCCCTAGCCCTAAACCCTGAACCCCGAAACCCCTGAACCCTAAACCCCAAGTCCTTAAATCCTAAAGCCCGATTTAAGTCGGCGCTTTTCTGGGTGCTGGGATCCTGCTAATCCTGCTACATAATTATATGTCTCGCGATACCGTACACATTCGACACGTCCAACTCACGGGCGAGACGTTTAGTTTTGGCAAAACCAGAAAGGTTCAAGCATGCCAAAACAAGCAACGCGGGCTATCAGCCGCGTCGTCCTGTAAGCCCCTCAATCCTGGCATTGAAATCTCTAAACCCACGTCAGCGAGGAGAGCGGGGAACGGACCCTCAACCCGGCACACTGCTTCTCCAAGCACATCCTCGGAGATACATCAAGAACCTTTAAGTCTTATATCTTGTCCAGCTCCTTCGGCGAAGTAAAGCTAGTACCCCGAACAGCTTAAATGTTACCTGCTCAAGCACTAAGCTTCTAATTTCATGGCATTCATCTCTTCATCAGCCCTAAACCACAAACCACGAACTCTACATCCCAAAAACCCAAATCACAAGCCCCACACCCAAACCCGTAACCCTAAGGCCTCAATGTAGTTCCTATATAGGTATTTGGGGCCCATGTATCTCCATATGGACACATGGACCCTCAGGGAAAGCCCAGTCCGGCCTCCAGGGCGTATTCCACCTGGAAGAGGTGCCCGTCCGGGGAGAAAACGGTGATCGCGCGGTCGTAGCCTCCAGCCATCCTCCGGCTAAGCATTTAGATCCACAGCTAGGTTTCTGAGTAACCCCTTTATAATAAGGCTACCCTTTTTCCTACTATTCGGTTTTAATAAGGGGACCTTAAACCAAAAAGGGCAAAAGGGCACTACTCAGGAACCTAGTTTAGATCCACAGATTCAGGTTTTGGGGTTAGGGCGTTTTGGGTTTTTGATGTAGGGTTCAAGGTTTCGGGGGTTGTAGGGCAAGGGTACATAGGGTGCGCAGAATAGGGCTCGAGCACTCCTTATATCACAGACTTTGCTTAAACCGCTTCGGGATCCTCAGCATGGTGTAGGCTGTTTCGCTTAGATTAGTCCGGCGGTATAGTTTCTGATTTAAAACCCTAAACCCCAAAGGATATTTAAGTTTTACGGCTCAGGGGTTTCCAGATCTCTGGGTCCAGAGCTGAGGTTTATTTACTGTAAATCCGAGGGTAAAAGGAGGGACCCCTAATCAGGACCCCTAGGTATATACCCTTAATATAGCTATTATATACCCATTATATGGCCCATTATATGGTAGGGTATTTATTGTAAAGTTTGTTGCGCTGCTTTGGGTGTTTTAAAAAGTGCAATGACTTTTTATCCACTCCGCAGGAGCAGGTCTTGAGCCCGCCTGCGTAGGCTTGCACTACAGGGTTTAGGGTTTCGGGTTTTAGGGTTTAGGGAGCTTGTTGCGTTGCATTGGGGGGGATGGCCCTCTGAGTCATCCCTCCTTGACAAGGCCGCTGGAAGCAGAGTCGATGTGTGGGAATGTCGCTGGTTTGCAGGAGCTGGGCTTTTCTTGGTTGAAGGTTGAGGGTTTAGGGTCCGTTAAAATCACTATGATTCTTGGGTCTCAACAACTTTGATGCGATGCTGAGTGAAGAAAAGTCAGTTTCAAGCGAGGCCTAGCGATGTGCCCCAGAAATTAGCATTTTCCGGGGTGCAGTCTCGCGGGTTGGAAAGGGCAGCGCGGGAACTGCCGCCCCGGCCACTACTGTAGTGATTTGTTGTGTTAACGGGTTTAGGGCTTAGGGTAACATGGGGGCTTGAAAAGTTGCACCCGGGTTTAGGGTAGCAGCTTCGGTTTTAGGGTTTAGGGTAAGATGAGGGCTTAGATAGCTGGACCAGGGTTTTCTTGGGTGGGCCTTTTCAGCACAGCTCTAGTAAAGAACCCAGAGAACTGCTATTATGGATTGTTCGAGCCCCTACTTAGAGGATCATGGGACTTAGTAAGTAATAAGTACGAAAATTAGGGTTATAAGTAGGTATATCTATAGACACCTTACTTATAACTTATAACCCTACGTACTATGACCACTGATCCTCTAAGTAGTCTGGCCGTGTTTGTGCCTGCAGCTTACCTAGGTTTCTGAGTAACCCCTTTATAATAAGGCTACCCTTTTTCCTACTATTCGATTTTAATAAGGGGACCCTAAACTGAAAAGGGCAAAAGGGCACTACTCAGGAACCTAGTTACGGTCTAAGAGCAGGAGCAGCCTATGTCGATGACTTTAAGCCGGGGCTGCTTATGAAATTCTGGGGATCTGGAGGTCAAGGGTAGAGGGTGGACACATGTGGTTATACTAAGGTGTACAGTCTGTCTGTATATATATATATACATATATATCATATGTACATGTTGTTGTGAATAGTAATCTTCGTATTATGGTTTGTATATTTTTATACAAACCATAATACATTAATGTTCATTTTCATACGGTGCTGAGAAAACGAAGACTGAAGAGATCCCGGTGCAACACGCCCGGCCTCCAGTATCTACGGGCTTCCTGAGGCCTTGAATTGGACTAGGTAAACCAATGCTGCAATCTTGAGCCCGCGAGCACCGGAGCGGTGATGAGACTTCGAAGCAAATCTCAGCTCCTTAAGGGGCTCCTTAAAGGGATCTGTAAGGTTCTTTCAAGGGATATATAGGGTTTAGGGTTTACGGTCTACTTGGAGGATCGTGGGACTTAGTACGTAGGGTTATAAGTACCTCAATGAGGGTTATAAGTAGATGTAGACCCTCTAAGTAGGCTGAACATGAAGAAAAGTTGAGGCTGAGAGACTTTTGTTCTACGAATTGCCCGTCGCACTTGCAGCCCTGAAGCAGTCCAGATCTGCATCCTAAAATTCCTCCTGCTGGTGCTACGCCTCCTGCTGGTGCTACGCCACGTATTTCCAGCCCTTGACTCCTAAATCTCTCATGCCGGAGTCAAGCACCGACCGGAAGGAAACGCCAACCGAATGCCTGAACGCCACTTGAGACGTCAAACCTGCATTCCAGAAACCCAGAGAGCCCAATACCCCTTAATTCAGGAACATGGCTTCAATTATATGGGGCTTCATATTATGATTTATATAAGATATATTCCTTTATTTAGGGGGTATTGGGCTCTCCAGAAACCCACATTCACAACCCTGAAAAGGAAGCTCCAACACCCTGATGGCGAAGTCTTGCGCAAGCTGCGAAACCCTGCAGCATCCTGAACAACCCATAAGCCGCTGTTTAGGGTTTAGGGTTTAGGGCTTAGGGTTTAGGGAATTCCCGCAGTAGATCCTAAATCAAACAAAGACGTATTGAAGTGAATCTTGCGATTTCAGCAACTGAACTCAGCAGATAAGACTTTCCAACAACCTTTACTTGCAGAGATTTGTAGGAGCATTTGGCTGCCTGTTGAGAGCCTAAATCCTAAACCGTTTGACGTTGCTGCACTTTGCAACTCCAACACGTGGCGACCGAACCCTATACTAAACACGCGATGCCCCCAAACCTTAAACATGAACCCTGTGATTGCCCCTTGAGCACCTACACTGCAAACCCTGAGACGTCAGCATGGTGGAGGGCGGCGAAAGAGGAGGAGCCATCTGTGTCGAAGACCTGAAAAGGACTGGGGATCTCCTCATTTACGGGCTGCTTCTAGAGGTCTCTGCGAACTGTTACAAAGATCGACCAGGATCTACTTTTAATGACAAAGATCTATTTTTATTGCTCGTAGATGGTAGGATAACTACTTGATATACGTCTCTTGCTCTTGGTCTACTTAGAGCTGTGCAGTTTCTCCCTAAACCCTAGGCCCGAAACCTGAAGCCTAAACTAAAATTGGAACTCGAGCACCGCATGCGACAGCAGACTGAGCTCTGGCTGAAAGGCCTGCGCTTTTGCGGACAATACACACACCGAGATACATATCTACTTATATAATCATACAAACAACTATCTATACTTACCTATCTATATACATATAGATATATATATATATATGTATATTCATATGTATATGTATATATGTATATATGTATGCGTATCCCTGGGAATCATAACCAGGAGCCCTGAACAAGCAGGCCTTGTGGAATGTTCAACAAACCCTTCGGGGCTCCACCCCGAGCGTCGACTTAGGGGCTCAAGAGATTCTACCCAGAGAGACCCTCACCCCCTTAACTAAGGAAGTATAACCCAAGGCCTAGGGGCTCCTTCAAGGGCTCCTTAAAGGGAGCTATACGGGGGTTCTGTAAGGGAATGAAGGAATATGGCTTAACCCATAATATGAAGCCTGGCATAATCTAAGCCATATTCCTTGATGAAGGGGTATTGGGCTCTCTGGGTAGCATCTCATAGAAGCCGAACCCTCCAAAGGTAGGTATCTTACTCTGGGCTTTTAAGTAACCAAGGAGAAAAAAGTATAAACTTGTGGTTCATAATGGTTCCTTTAAGAAGGAAGTATGAAAGTATGGTACTCCTTGCCCCATCATAGAAGTCGAACCCTCCAAAGGTAGGTATCTTACTTGGAGGATCGGATCATGGGACTTTGTAAGTAGGGTTGCAAAGGCCGTAAATTAAGGTTATAGGTAGATATAACTATAGTTGCCTTACATACAAACCTACTTACTGAGTCCTCTGATCCTCCAAGTAGGGTCCGGGTAGGGTTTCGGTTTCGGGGTTTTGAGAGATCAGGTTTAGGGCTCTAGGGCTTCTACTGTCGAGCGTCCTGGGGAATTAAAGGTTGACCTTTGGGCGTATACCGGGAGGCTATACCCTAAACCCTGAACACTAAACCCTAACATATCTGGCCTACTTGTCGGGTATCATGGGGAACTAAAGGTTAACCTTTCTGGTTATATAGGGATGATATAGGGGCGATACTACCCAAAAAAGGCTAAAGGTTGCCTACTCTACTACTACGCTGGTAATGTATAGGTTTCAGCAGTCATTGTTTCCTGGAGGCCTTCCGACTGCGTGGCTCTAAATTCCTGGGTTATTCACGCCCAGTGGCTCTAGGGGTGGTGGGGGTCTGTGATAGGCCGGAGGGTTCTGCACAAAGTTTAAGGATTAGAGTTAAGATAGTCTAACTACATGCAATCTGGAACCGGAAGGAATAGTGTTTGTATCAGCAGAGCTCCTTCATAAGGAATCTCGCCATGTCTGGGTACCCTACACTAAACCCTTAAACCCTAAATCCTATAATAATAATCGCGAAACCCTAAACCCCAAAACCCCAAACCCTAAACGAAAAACCGTTCTGGGTACCCTCCTGGGCTCCCAGCAATGCTCTGCCCGATGAGGTTCAAATAGAAGGACAACAAGTTGGCCTGCTGGGAGGTCTCTGTATCAGGATTGCTTTCAAATGCAAAGGCCTTTCCAAGGTTTAGAGTTTAGGGCTTGGGGACTGATTTTTGGTATAGGTTTGGGGCTACAAGTTTCTGTACAGGGCGTTCAGGGTTCAGGCAGTTAGTCTTCAATGTGCTTCTTGCGACGGCTACCCTAAATACCCTAAACCCTACACCCTACACCCTAAACCACTAATGGGGCGGGGGGGGCTGTTTCTCCTTCCATGCCAGCTTGGGGCTCGGTTTGTGGGTGAGTCGGGCGGGCTAATCTAGGGGCCTTAATAATTAGAACAGGGTTTTGGGTCCCATAATTCTATACTATTCTTCAGGAACCCCCACAATAGTATAATTAGGTAATTTTTTAGGCCCCTATAGTACTCGGTTGTATGGCTGA